ACCCGCTGAATTCAATGTGATTATATTGTTTAATGCAAGTTTAATGTACAACGTAATATTTGGAGACATTTTCTCTGATAATGTTGCAGCATTATGTTGCTCAAATATGTCTTTTTGTTTCAGAATTGTAAAAACAGCTGTCTGGATTGTGTAGAGTGAAAAATTTGTACTCGGTGAACCCCTTTTACTTTGCTGTTTTTGAACACCTGAGACATTCACTTTCTGAGTTCTTAGAATTGTGTAGAGGTCAGATTTCTACTATTCTACAGTTCTTTTTTACGATGTAATATCATCACATAATTATGATCTCTAAGTGAAGTTTGTATGCACTCACAGTCCAATAACACATTTGAAAGGCAGCTTTGAGAACTGAAAGCGTGTCATGAGATCTCAGTCTGCCTGCTTGCTAATAGGCTCCAGCTCCCATTTGAATCTCTGTCTTTTTCGGTTAAAGCAGGAAGCTGAACTGCTTGGGCCTGAGGTGTTGAGAACCCCACTTTCCCAGCATGGAGTGGGAGTTGGTGGAAGGATTAGAGAGGCACTGTCTGTGATGTAATTTAATCTCGGCGGCCAGGGAATTAGTCCAGAACGGGCACGACCGATGTATGTGATCAACCTCTGATGACCGGTAGGGGATTGGGGCGCCTCAGATCGCACACCGCTGCCAAAGCTGCCTCTGCAGAGCATTTCAAGTCATCTTCTCTGCTGGCCCTAACCAGTCAGCAGCTCAATTTGGCTGATGGCAAGCGTGCTCATTGAGGGGAGAAGTCGGTCCCGGATGATTTCCTCCCCCCTCTGCTAGCTCTCCTCCGCACCGTCACCCCTCCCCGCCTCAGCCATCGTCCAAATGTCGCTCTGTCCTCTCTTTCCCTCCCACTAATGTCTCCCCCCTCAGCGATATTATGCCCACCCCTCTTCCTCTTAAACCCAGACACCCGGCAATCACTCAGTCGCCACGTTATCTCAGGAGGCTGTCTTGCTTCACCCACCTCACCCTACCATCCTCCTCCCTTTTGCTGCCCCACACCCCTTCATCATCCCCCCCCCCAAGTGCATTCCAGCATGACAAACCACACGGGATTTCACAAGTCCTTTAAAGTCTGCTGCCTCTGGGAACCACTCTGCTTCATGCAACATTTTAGTATTCGAGGGAATACGTGACTGGGGAGGCAACCGACGCTGTTATATATCTGCCGTCTCTTCCTTATTTCTGTTATTTCCAGCAGGAAAAAAAGACTTTTAAAGTAGGAAGTGATCATCTTTGATAGCTGATTTCAATTTGCTGTATTGATTGATGTCGTTTAATTTTTTTGTTTGTTCGTTTCATGTAAAATAATTACTGTCCAGGGTTTGCTTTTCTGAAGACATTTTTGTTTTATTTCAACACATAAAAGCATCACAACAACAATATACAAATTCTTAGTAATCTTTAAAACCAAAACACAATTACACATGCAACAATAGGGTTTAAGACAATGAGTAACTTATTGAATAATTTTGTTTTTGGAATGTATTAATGTTGCTTATTAAAGAAAACTGCTGTTTCCTCTGTTAAAAAGAAGTCCAGACTATGACTTAGCCTCAGATCAACATCCGACTTGTCAAATATGTCTTCAACACTAAATGATTTTATCATTATCGCATACAATTTTTCCGTGTGATTTCTTGCTGCTTATTTGACAATCTTGGGTGATCCAAACAGCGAGAAAATATAGTACGGGATAAAAAGTACAGTGATAAATGAAATTTTTGTCAAAAAACATGTACTTGGATCATCTGTGAGTCTGTGACCTCCAGGCAGCACACGAACATCTGCTGCTGACACAGTCAAATCAAGGCCAATTAAAGTTTAAAGAAGTGCGGCTCACCACACAAGACAATGTGCCCTGTTCTGTAGTGAGTCCAGTCAAATGAGGAGACGCATCAACAACTGTGTCACAGTGCTGCCATCCTTCAACGAGACACATCACACTGCCAGCAGCGGTCTTCACATCAGCCCGCAGCTTTAAGAGAGAACTAAGCGTCGGAACTAGAATATGACTCAGTTTGAGGAAAAAAAACTGAATTGAAACAAAATAACAGGTTGAAGAATAATCAACAGAATAGATTATTGCTTCAGAAGTGATGTGTTGTGTTTGCGAAATCATCAATCCTTGTGGCCTCCTTTGTTTGACGGATTCAGTGTGATCGTATGATTGTCTGTTTGAGTCCTTTACATAGGAATGGCTGCAAACCTACAGCCACAACACTGAAAACACATTCATAGACACCAAAAATATACATAATGATACCGTCAAAAGGTACAATAATTACACAGAAAAGTAAATTACAGAGTTAAAACAACACCGTTATGTTTTTCTTTATATTTTTGTATGTCCACGGTTTCTTCACCCTTCCTCTCCAAATATGTTGGGCGTGTTTGGTTCTGTAAGCCCATGAAGTGCTCTTGGTAGAGAGTCAACAGTCCCACCTGCCCTTTTACTGCTGGATGAAGCCATTATGGCTTGCCCTTCTAAAAGAACCACCGAAAAGCCTCGCCATTGTTGACCGGCGTCCTCTGTGGAGACAAAAATGAAGAACAAATTTTACTTTTCAAGTTTTAAAGTCATGACAGTGTAAAGTTACATATATGTTGCTTCACATATAAGTCAGTCATTTAAAAAAAGCTAGTTGCCACTAATTGTTGTTATGAATTGTATGAAATTATGAAAAATGAAACCCTGAAAGGGTACTGAAAGCTGTTGAAAACTACCGCCAGATATTTCATTAAAGAGCCAGCCAAGGTGATTACATCCATGTCGCACCCACACCCAAATAATCATTAAACCGGATGAAATATTCAATACAAATTCCCAAGAAGCAACAATGAGGCATTTAATTACTGCGAGCTTGAGCTGCAGTGAGGGGGAACAGTGCATCACTTCAATTTGAGCCCGCTACAGCAGCTGCTCCTCCTCCTTTTCCTCCAAAAACCTCCATGCCAATGACAGCTTCTACGATCCGAAACTCATTTGGAAGGCAGCGAACATGAAATACAGGAGTCAACCCCTTGAACGATTAGCATTTTGTTTCCTTTTCTGTGGCAGCAGACAGAGAGGAAATTGCGCATTTTCAATACTGAAATCACTTTAGGCCGAATGAAGGGAAAATTGACATTTTAATACCAGCCGTCAGTCGTGGATCTTTAAAGTCATGCTGATGAACGCTTTGGATTCAAAAAGACTCACTTACGCAATTTATTGATCACACATGTTTATATGATATAAATCTTTAAAAAATGTTCCAAATTATGTTTATTTGATATCTTCTATGACACACTTGCATATTTGGACATACATGTTAAGTACTTAGCCTTTTTTCATTAATTAGGCTAGAAATTCTGTTATTATTATTAATTTTGTTTTGAATTGTTTACAAAAGTTTAAAACTAGAAGTTTTACAGATGATATCTTATCATATTCACAGGTGATAAATGATACATTTGTAAGTTTACTGTATCTTGAAGGTTAGGATTAAGTTTAGGATTACTGGCAGCGTGTTAAGATAGCATCTGTATGTTTGGTAACGTAAACACCTCATTACATTTATTGGTTCTGGTACTGTGTCAGATACGTTTCAACAAGCACCTTAAGTAGTCTTAAAGAGAATGGTTTTGCATGCAACCAGAAAATATTTATCTATACTGATAAAGCAAACACACAAAGTATTTAAATCAATGTAACATGAATAAACAGAATAGTCTGCAAACATTTCAACTGATGCTTTTCAGCTACATGTGCCTCACAAACTCAAACAAAATACACCAAATCTAACAGTCCAAGATGTTTTCCATGTAAGTGCAGTGCATCATGATGAATTTAAGACATTCTTCCAGAATATAACTTTAAACTGTTAGCTGTAAATACATAAGCTTGGGGTCATTCTCATACCTATTTTGAGATGCATACATTCTTTCTGTGTCTCTAAGAGCCATTCACCATATTTTCACACCGCATTAAGCAATTACCATTATCCTTCCAAGTGAGTAATGGAGGAGTCCAGAGCAGCAGGATACCATCATCACCAATTTAAAACCATGGATGAAATGAAACATTATCATGTTTTAAAATGTCAAGATGTTCTCACACATCTAATGTTGTCTGTTTTTCTTTCTTTTTGAGCCTAATAGCAATGAGCTGATTGTTATGTCACTGTATCTTCATGATCTTTTTCTTTACAGTTTTGGTCATGATGAATATATATATTCCTCAACTTTTTGCCTGTATTTGACAGAATTTAAATGAAAGAAAAGATAAGAAGATATCTGAGCTGTGCAATAAGGTAACTTGTTTTAATGTGTGCATTTAATGTGTGTTTTGGGTGTCCATATTATACGTTTGACATTCTTTTCTGAAGGTGAAAATTAAGAATTTATTCCTAAAATTGTTTTCTAATGTTACTCTATCGTCATTTTAATCAGTATGGACTCTTGTTGTGTAATACCATAGCTGCTGACGGAAAATACCTCGTATCAAAGAGAATCTGTTGTTTCAGTACTGTGTGATGCTGTTTAGTCGACCATTTATGTCCACCAGTCATTAAGATGAAAAACTCATAAACATGCATGCATACGTTCTCACTATGTAGTTCTCGTCGTGGTTTTCTTGTAAGCATTCAGTCTTAAGCTAATTTCTCTGCCCGCATTATGACGCTCTGAGAGCTGGGGCAAATAGGAGAAAAAGTGGAGTTGAGAATGTTTATCTTGATCCATATTCTCGCATTGATCAGTCCCTGGTGGAAGTACGGCTCACCAGAGACAATAATGACCCTGATCGGTGCACTCGGCATGTCTCTGTTTTGTTAAGTTCCCACGTTATCGATCCAGTGGGGCTCTTAAGTGCTGCTTGGATTCACTCCTGGGCCCTCTTACCTCGGCACACAGCAGTGACCGGGCACAAAGAAGGCTCAATTAGCACCAGCTCTGTCTTTTTTTACTCCCCCACCTGCATGCGCCTTCAGAATCAGTCCATCGGCTGGCAGGAGGAGAGACACAAGAGCAGGGAAACAAAGGGAAAAAGAGGGAGAAGCAGAAAGGGTATAGGGAGAGGGCCAGAGCTGACAGTATTACACCAGGGACAGGGGAGCAATGCCAAGGTTTTACCTCAGATCAAGACTATGTGGCGGCGGCTTAGCCTCACGTTAACACTGTAGCAGGGCATACATAAAAACCATACATGGCTACGACGTGCAGAGGAAAAGACCATTTTCGGCCGAGCCGACTGAAGGAGGAGGAAGAATTCTGCTAGACCTCAAATTAACCCCAACGCCCCGCCACAGTGGGCATGGTATATTCTTAGTGTCTGCCTGTATTTTTCAGTGATAACGGCACAGTAAGACTGACGCGCGAGGGGAAAAATTCTCCGCTGATTCTGGTGAAGCAGTGTGAGGTCTCAGGGCTGCCAAGACGCCCCGTGATTCTAACTGAACCTGGCAGTCGCGTTCCCTGCCGAAGCCCCCCGTTGCCAGCTGATTGAGAAGAGGTGATAGAAAGACGGCGTCAACACGAGCGAGCGGGTGAGTCATAATCAAAGCTAGAACACTAAATGCAGGCATGGTCAACTTGCGCCTTTCCAACCGCAATCTCAAATTTCCAGGTTAAGTCCAACCTTTTTTCATGCAAATTATGAAGAAGCACAAAAAAAAAAGGCCTCAGCCGCCAGCTAATTCTTTGCCGTGCCCCTTCAATTCCCCCCAGCCTCGGCGTCACACGGAGCTGGGCCCAGAGATAAACCACTCAAGACGATGAGGATGATAATGGCAGACGCCGCAGCGCCTCAAAATTCAATCAGCGCCCAGACGTCAATGCGGATGAGTGTAAAAGTGAAATATGCTCGCCGCCGCGCGTTAAAAGACGCCACACGGAGCTCACAGAAACAACAACAGGAGATGAGGAGGACGAGCGGGGAAAGAGAAAAGGAGAGGAAAAAAAAAAGTAGCGGGAGGAGAAAAAAAAATGAAAATGATGTGTCTCTGCTGCTCTTCTCCCTCTGGCATTCTAAGCAGCCCCACTTTAACCACAGACTGTGAATAAATTACCCTTTTGAACTCAGGGTGATTGCAAATGTGCCCCGGTTTCTCTTGAGACATGTCTGGCACTAACCCTGAGCTCTCTGCTCCAGCCAGCCTTGTCACAGAGGCCCTTTGCTTCCTCTCCTCCTCCTCCTCCTCCTCCTCCTCCCACCAGAACCACCAGGCTCACACAGAGGCATGCACAACATCATCAAACTTTTAACTTCACCTCAATTACGGAGGATTTCTTTCCCATGAGCCATAAACTCCCAAGCTCTCTCCTCTATTTTTTCACTCTCTCTCTCTAAGAACTGCCAAGAATCTGCACATACGGAGATTAAATTATTTTTTTTCATGAAAAGTCACAGATTATAGAGAATTCCTCGGAAAAGATGCGCTGAAGCAAACATGTTCAAATAAATAATTAATTCATAAGAGAGGATTACGGAAGATGAGGAATTTCAGGGAGGACAGGGGCCAAAATGAGGTGGGATAGAAGGCCAATGAGAGAAAGTCAGTGTTTGTCCAAATGCTCATCACAATGGAAGGCATAGGAAATACTTTGTTTAATCAGAATCACTGGGACGGACTTGGATAGGCTGTCAAACATTGAAGGCTGGTCTCCAGCGGTGATGGACATGATGGTGGTGAGGGCCTCAGGGTGCAGTCTGTCCCAACTGATATCGTGTACATTGCCTGTCACTTTATTCCTCAGAAATATTGGGGCGTTGCCCTGCTCAAATGTGGACAGTATGGCCATCCATCACCTGCAGAGCAATCCGTGTTAGTGGGTGGGGGCTGGAATCTCATCTTAAAGCCTGTAACCAGAATTCTTGCCACCCAATGTCATTTAGAAAGACACTTTTTCAAGGCCGCAATCATGCACAGACTCATCCAAGCTTCTACAGTAGTGCTGAGCTCAAAGCCGCACAGCACCTAACTGTAGATGCTGCGGCACAAATTATGTATAAAAAAATATATAGTTGTATTAACACATGTTATGGGCATAACCATGGTTTGGAACAACGATCAAATTGTGAAAAATTCAAACTATTTAGTTTATATGCACAACACAGGTAGAGATTTTAGAAATTGACATATTACTGCATAACCGGACATCATCACATTTAGATAAAGCAGTCATTATAACACTCTTCTGTGTGAGTGAAGAATCACTGAAAGCCCGAAAAAAGGCGCTTCATGCACATTTTTGTCTAAGATAGAAATAAAATAGTTAAACTCTAGTTCTATGCATTTTCATTACAAAGCCTATATTGTCATACACACCAAGAAAGGCATTAATGGTCTGTTTTATGTTGCTACACTAGGTTTTTAATGCAGTTTTAGACATTTCTCTAGCTGTAGCTCTGACCAGGGACTGTTTGATGATATGAAATATTGGCACTGTGTTTTTAAAACTCATTAAATAATATCCTAAGTGATTTAGACTCGAGTTACATAGATGATGTCAAGCTTTGAGGTACTTGAGTTTATGCGATTTTCTTCTCTCTATCCATAAGTGTAACTTGGTTTTGATTTTTTTAAACATTTTCATTCAAATTACAATTACAGATTGTCTCTAAACCTCCTTCTTCTACCTTCTCCTGCCACTTCTATTGTGTTCTTAAACTGGTTATTACTGAATCATTATTTTCAATTGATGTGGCAGCACTTCTTTCATTGTTATATAAGTTCCTTAGGTCACAATAAATGTGCTTTAAAACATAATTAAGTTAGAGTTGGGACAAAGCAGTCCAGCTCTTGCCGGTCTGAACTGTGTTCTAGATTGTGCCAGATTAGCAATGAAGTGTCAATTCAAGCAGACATTTACAAGCAATGTTTCACCATCAATACCAGTTGACTGTTTATCTAATTATCCATTGTGCTCGCCTACTCCAATGTGTGAACAAAGGAGGGCAAAAACAATATAATATATAATAATAGGGTGGATCTAACTTTTACACGCAAACAAATCCAAAGAACCCAAGTCCACCACTGCGCTGATAACAGTTGAGCGCTAACATACAGCCGCCAAGGTTCAGCCTTGCACCAGTCATCCATTCAAGCAAATCACGTTAAGTGTATTGCGGATGTTTGTGAGTAATGAGGAATTTTGGGGTTTTCTGCTGAGTGGGCAAATATGGATGGTGGGTGGAGGGGAACGGGTGCTATGGGGACGTGGGGGTATGATGGTGTGCTTAAGAGCGGTGCCTGGGAGAGGCGGGACGGTCGCAGGGGGGAGATTAGGCTGAGGGGCAGCGAAGAAAGACCAAATCCATCTCCATCTCAGAAACATCCTAAAGCAGATTATTTACTTCAGTGGCGGAGACGGAGAGGGAGGACAGAGGGGGGAGAGGAGCAGAGAAGCAGAGGAGCAGAGGAGATGGATGAGGAAAGAGAGAAAGAGAGAGCAATTAGCATAGATGCAATTCTGGCACAGTCCTCTGACTGGATATTTGACCTTTTGTAAGAGTCTTGCCAAATATCGGCTGAGATGCATAGACGGACCATATGGCAAAGTGCTGCTGGGGGCTGAACGCACTGCGACTCCCAGCCTCCGTATGCTAATGGGGGAATGTAATTACAGTGCGGTATTCCTGCAGGACGTATATTTCACTCGTCTTCTGGAGGAGTGGATTTGCAGTGAGACAGGGCAAGCTTCCCAGGCTTCACAGAGGAAAAGAAAAACAATTGCTTTTTTTTTGGTGATCAAACAATCAGGAAGCCATTAAGTGTACAGTGAAATGGAATGGACCCAGTATTCCTGAAACCACAGAGTAAGATGTCTTTTTATGAGAAAATCATGAGAGGACGAGTAACCCTCGGCCAAAATCAAGAAACGTACGCGAGTCTTGTGCCGGAAAGAGAAGAAAAAAGAAGGATCATGAACTGATGCCACATAGATATTTTTCATCAGCTGCCAGCAGCCAAACACCTGCTGAGTCAGTGATGTCACAAACGGGGCTGTGATTCAGAGGGGCAAGCCTTCAATCTTTAAGCATTAGCCAGCCGTTCCGCAACATTTCCATTGGATAATTTACTAATAGGAATGTGGTAAAGAAAGCAAACTGGAAACAGGAACTACAATTCAGTTTACGTGCATCTTGATTTGTTTTAAATTGTCTTCAATATTTCCTTATGAAAAGCATTTCTTTAATTTAGTTTCACTGACTTAAAATAATTCAGAGGTCTTTTTGGTGAATTGGAACGTCAGATAATTTGAAAAATAATCATAATCCCTTCAAACATATTTCTAAGTTGTTCTTACTCATATATATTTCTTTCCCTCTCAACATATTTCATTTGTTTTCCTTCAAAATCTGCTCCTGTCAGTAAGTAGCAAAACAACAGATGGGGTGTATTTAACGTTCAATATTTAACTAAAGGCTGCATCTCTCCCTCTCTCTCTTTTGCTTTAAGAAAGAGATGCTTTGCTAATATTCCTCTTAATTCAGCACCTTCTGTGGAGCCTAAGAGTAAATGGTAAAACATATGAAAGGCAGTTAGCATGCTGGGGTATATATAATAAGAAGGAGATATTCTGACCTCATCCCATAATTTTTGTGAGCAATAGAGTCAGACATCAAAGATTGTATAAAAAAGATGGTAACTGAGCATACTCGTGTCATTATATTCATAGCAACCTTTTAATTTATATTTACGTTCATGCAGTTATGTTGGAGCCATAAGAACAACAGAATAAACAGCAAAATAGACTTATGTCAAAAATAAGGTGCTCTTTACACATGGTTCACTTTAACCCTACAAGTGCCTGTGGAGAAAGAGAAGTACTTTTAGAAGGGGTTCATTAACACCCACCCATCCATCCATCCATCCATCCATCCATCCATCCATCCATCCATCCA